ATTTATCTTGGCTGTGGTCCTGGGCAAGGGATTTGTCTTCACTGAAGTCAGTTTCCTCATCTTTAGATGGGGCTAGAAAGAGTGCCTACCTCAGAGTGTGGCTGTATGAATTCAGGGGCTTTGCTACGTCTTGGCTGTGTGACCTTGGATGAGTCACTTAACCTCTCCATACCTCATCTTCTTCACCTGTGAAATGGAGATAATCAGAGCACCCACCTCATCAACCCTTCCCACCCACCCTCTCCAGTCCCTTTCCCTTTGGTAACTGTTAGGGAGTGAGGTTGGAGTTAGGACTAACAGAGTTAATTTACAAGACTTGGCATTGAACCCATCCTGGGTAAGAACTCAGAAATGCCAGCCCTCTTTGGTGCTTTTTGTGCAATAGGGCCTGTGTTTGGCATAGGGCCAGTCTAAAGAAATGACTGCCTTAGTTAACACATTTTTCCTTCAGCCCTTTATCTCATTTAATCCACACCACTATGCTGTGTGGTAAGCGTGCTTATCCTGGTTTTATAGATGAGGAAACAGGTGCTCAGAAAATCATTGCTTGCCCCAGGTTACATGGAAAGGAAATGGCAAGACCAGGGTTTGAACTCAGATCTACCTGGCCCAAGTCCCCAACCACCAAAACACACACACATCTCATTCACCATGTGTTCTAAGCCTTTTAGGGATTACTCATCAATCCCAGCAACCACCTCACAAACTAGGTTACCCTGTGAGTCCCGTTCTACAGACCAGGAACCTGAGGTGCAGAGAGGTTTGTTCCTGGCTCAGGGTCACACAGCCAGGAAATAACGGAGCTGGGACTTGCACCCAGGCTGCCTGGCTCCAGTCCCTGCACTGCCTCACAGTGTGTGGCAGACCCAGAACCCAAGTCTAATATCCAGAGGCAAAAACTGACGTTGGGAAGGGGTTCTACCGCACTCTCTTCTTCCCTAAGTGTCCATCAGTAGATGAATGGATAAAGAAGCAAATAATCCAATTAAACAATGGGCAGAGGATCTGAAGAGACACTTCTCCAAAGAAGAAATTCAGATGGCCAACAGACACATGAAAAGATGCTCCAAATCCCTAACCATCAGAGAAATGCAAATTAGAACCACAATGAGATATTACCTCATTGTGAGAAATACCTGGAGAAGTTAGAACAGGAGTTTGAGTTTTATTTTCCATCGTTCACTCAACACGCATGCTCCTGAGTGCCTCCCCTGTGCTCAGCCTGCGGTGGGCGGCCGTCGGGACCCAGTGACTGACTGACACTGCCTTGGTTCCGTGGTCCCCTCCTGGAGTTCACAGTCCAGTGTGAGAAACAGACCTGTCCTCAAGGCAATGATGACCCAGAGTGGGCAGGGCTGGGATTTGGGAGCGCAGGAGGCCGCGGGAGCCTGGAAGGGTCATCTCATCAGGCCTGTGTGGCGGGGTGGTGATCAGAGAGGGCCTCCTAGAGGGGGCATCAGCGCTGGGGCTCAGAGAACCGAGTAGCAGGCAGGCTGAGACACTGAGGGAAGGTTTGGAGCTCCTCCGGTGTCTGGGGCCTGGTCCATGAGCCAGCAGCGCCCCCTGCTGGAATTATTCTATAGAGCAGTGACCGGGCACTGAAGAGGTTTGAACCAGATTCTATGTTGAACCAAAGTTGAACCAAATTCTATGATATGATGCGGGAATCATGTTGTGCCCCCAGCTATGGCCAACTTATGCTTCTAGAACTTGACTAATTTAGTCAGTCTCTCAAAAAATATTTATGGAGCGCCTACTTTGCTTCAGGCTCTGTTCTAGTTTTAAAGATACATTGCTGAAAATACAGAGCCCTGTCCTCGGGAGCTGGCATTCCTGCGAGAGAGAAAAAAGAACCAATAATTTCATAGAATCACTCGCCAATATTTGCTAAATGCTTCCTGCCCATATATTAAGTCATTCAATCTTCGCAGTCTTTGACTATCCCCATTTTGTAGATTAGGAAAAATGAGGCACAGAGAGGTTAAGCTACTTGTCCAAGGCCAACACAGCCAGTAAGTGCTGAAAGCAAGTTTGAACCCAGCCCCGTGACATTTGCTTTTAGTCATTTTAGCCACCACATTACTTCGCCAATAATGTGATGTAACATAACAATAATGTGGTATAATAGTGCATTAAATAATTTTACACCCTGAAAATTTTATGAACAAAATCAAGCTGGGTAGTGAGACAGTATTTTGGTGGGAGTGTGTAATTTAGAAGGTGTCATCAGGGAAGGCCTCTCGTAGGAAGCAGCCTTTGGGAAGAGACCAGACAAACGGACGGGATATGTGGGTAGACAGGTGCAAGCAGGGAGCACAGCCAAGGCTAAGGCCCGGAGGCAGGCACTGTAAGAATGGTCATCGGTCTGGGATCCAAAGTTTCCAAGGTTCCGAGTTGATCCAGGATTCCAGCTTTGCCGAAGCCCGCGTTTCCGGACCTCGGGTGAGCTGGAAACGTCCCGTGATTCGACGTGTCCTGGAAGCTGCGAGCTCGGTTGCGAGCTGGGCGTCGGGGTTCTGCTATTCTGGCGGGTCCTGGGACGCTGGGCTAAACCGGCCTCGGGCGGTGGGCGGGACCGGCCTCACCTGCAGGGGCGGGGCTCCTGGCGCCCCGCCCCTCAGGGGAAACGCCCGCGGCCCGAGACGCGGACGCAGCTGGGAGCGGCGGGGCGTACGGGACGCTGCCGGGAGCAGCGGGGCAGAGCGGGTCCCGGAGCCGGCCGCGGTCAGGTGGGCGCCGGGAGTGCCGGGCGGGAGTCCCCGGGGCCGCAAGGATGGGTTGGGGGAGAGCTGGGCCTGGCGCACCCCTGGGCCCCTGGCCTAGCAACGGGACCAGCCTCGGGGCCCCTGGAGGTCCCCTGCCCCGCCCTGGGGCTCCCCAGGGTCTGGAGACCCAGGTGGGACCGCGCCCCCTCCCCGTGCGCAGGTAAACAGGAGCGAGGACTGGGCGGGGCCTAGGGTGTGGGAGGGGGCCCCTGTGTTCGCGAAGCCCGGGTGCGCGGGGCTGCGCGGCCCCGCCTGGGTTAAGTTGTGTGGTTTGAGGGGCTTCCATAATGCGGGCCTCCTGCCTGCCGGGTGTGTGTGTATGTGTGTGTGGAGATGACATGTGCGTGTGCATGAGAGATGATGGGCGAAGCTCAGGTGTGTGTGTGATGGTGTAGGAAGCTCATGGGTGCATGTGATGGTATCAGGCTGTGGGTATGGGTGTAAAAGGGAGATGAACTGGCCTGTAACCCTGCAGGGACTCAAGAGGCACTGTGTGAATTGCTTCAGTAAATGAAAATGTGGGCGACCTCTGTGGGTCCGCGATGTTCTGTGTGTGTCTGTTTTTGGGCGTTGAACTGTTTATAGAATTAAGTGTGGATGTGACCAAGAGGTGTGCGGCTGTGGTTGTCTGCCTGTAAGATGGGGTGGGTCTTAGGGAGGTGGGCATTGTGTGTGGCACAGGAAGGATGGGGGGAACGGATTACATTGTCAGCTGTGTGGGGCTGAGGACATGGAGGGGGTTAGCTGCCTGCAGGCCGTACAGGGGCGCGAGCTGCTGCGTGTAGAAGCAGTCTGAGTGTTGGGCAGCTGTGATCTAACTGTACGTGTCATGAGACTGTTACTGGGTTGTTGGTATGGCTGTGGCTGGTGGGTGCGAGGCTGTGTCTGGAGCATTCAGCTCAGCTGTATAAGATGGGGTGTGCGGTGGGAAGGTTCTTCACGTTGGCAAAGTTGTGTGAATAATGGTTGCAGCTGTCAGGATGACTCAGTGAAACTTCTGTGATTGTGAGTTTGACACATTATAGGGCTTGTGTGTGTAGGTATGATACACATATGTATACATATGTACATGGAGAGAGAGCAGTTGATTACATGCCTGCATCACTGCCTGAACATAAAAGATCGTGAGCATTCAATGAGCAGGTGCCAAAACCTCTCGGCTGCTTATGGTGGACACAGTAGCTTGAGTAAAGTAGGCCTGACAGGGTGGGTGTGGGAACCCTGGAACTGCCGATGTGTGTCACCAGAGCTGTCTGTGCTGTGGTGTCTATGACACCCACTTGTGACGGCATAACTTAGTCTGACTTCAGGGGTATTTGCACAGCCGTGATTGAACTCTATAGGTGTGTCTATGTGGATGCCACATACAGGCGTGTGGATGCCACAAGCATGCGTGTGAATCCCTGGCTGGCTTGGCACAGTGGGGGACAGCGGAGCAAGTGGGGAAGGTGGTTTCAGGTCCACAGTGAGTCGTGGGAGTGTGCGCAGGCTTGGAGGTGGCGGTGGGCGGTGGGGTGAGGGCTGAGTGTGGGTGGAGAGGGCATGCGTTGTGGGGGAGGTACAGGCGGTCTGCCTGCGAGTGATTGGGGATTTGGTTGTATTTTCACAGGTGACAGGATGAGGGGGAGAGCTAGTTTCTGTGTGTGTTGGCTTTTATTTCTGAGGAAAACGTATCTAGGTGTTGGGCTGTGTTTCCAAGAAGGGAGTGTAGATGTGTGTCTCTGAAAGAAGGGTAGGTGTGTGTCCCCCTGAGTTGGCAGGCTGCATTAGGTTGTATTTTGAAAGGCAGATATGCATGTGTGAGTGTGCATATTTTTATTTTTTAGAATTGAAAGAGTGTGTCCAGAGTGTGTTGTGTTTCTGAGTGTTTCATTGTTATTTCTAAGAGACAGAGCATATTAAGTTGTATTCAGAGAGGGGCATATGTGTGTATTTCATTGTATTTGAAAGAAGAGCATGTGTATTTTTGAAAATATGTATTGTGTTTTTAAGAAGGAGGGTGTGTTTCTGAGAGGGGAGTGTGTGCATGCCTGTGTGTGTGTGTGTGTGTTGTACAAGGGCTCCAGGGGAACCATGAGCTGTTCATTGACTTTGTCACCCACATACAACCACACAAAGTCCCATATGTGAGACCCCCACCCCTTATAATCTTGGCCTCAGACCCTCAGCTGTTGCATGGCCAGTGTGACATCCATGGGCCACACCTGCCACACCTGTGTCCCAGCATGCCTTGGGCTGACTGGGCCTGTCTGCAGTGAAGGGTGGAGATCCTTTAACTTCGGGATCTGTCAGCTCCTCAGGCCCTGGGAGCCAACACGTGGGGTTCCCTCCCTAGCCCCCCAATCTAGCACCTCCTTGCTTCCAGCAACCCAGCCCCTTGGGCTCTCATCCCCGCCCCAGCCCCAGTGGTCTGACTGGTTCCCAACAAAAACACCCTAAGAATGAGCTCACAGAGAGGCTGCTGCCTCCACATGCCCCACCCCACTCACCCAGCAGGGGAGGGCACCTGCAGTCCAGGTCACACGGCCGGGAGGTCTGGCCAGGGTATCTGGGGTCCTTGGGGTGGGGAGGATTGACCAGGTGAGCTGAGGACAGGTGGGACCACAAGACAGCTGTCTACCCTCTTTTGATTAGTTATACACAGGGTTTTGGAGTTGCCCTCAGGGCAGAGCCCTGCGCTGAGGACAGGAAAGGTGGCCTAGACTGTGCTGGCTGGGATGCTGGCTGTGGGACAGGATGCTGGCTGGAGTGAGGAGGGCACGAGGCAGAGGGCTGGCAGAGATGGCTGGAGAGGAAGACAGCTGGGAGAGGTCCTGCTGGCAGAAATGGCATGGAGACTGAAGGGTTGGCTCTTCTGGCCCCAGCAGTGATTCCCCAATCCTGGCCACCCTCAGGAGCAGCCATGTCTGTCCAGGTGGCAGCCCCTGGAGGCACAGGGCTGGGCCCAGAGCGCTTGAGCCCTGAGGAGCTGGTGCGGCAGACGCGACAAGTGGTGCAGGGGCTGGAGGCCCTGCGGGCCGAGCACCACGGCCTGGCCAGGCATCTGGCTGAGGCCCTGGCAGGACAGGGCCTGGTGGCTGGCTTGGAACTGCTGGAAGAAAAGCAGCAGGTGGTGAGCCACTCACTGGAGGCCATCGAGCTGGGGCTAGGCGAGGCCCAGGTATGAGCAGCCGCGTATGCAGGGAGGCAGGCCTGGAGGGGAGGCCGAGCGGGGCCAGGCCAGAGATGGGCCCTGGGCAGCACTGGGGGCAGGGGGTGGGAGGGGGGCTCGTGTGTGACAGGGAACCCTGAACCAGGTGGGGTCCTTCTGTAGAACCGTGGGTCCTGGACAGACTTTGGGGTGGCACGGGTGGAGTATGAGGAGTCCCTGCACGTAATTTATGTGCCTGGGTGAGGTGAGAAGGGTGCCTGGGCAGGATTTGGGATACCCCTGGGAGCCTCTTCACATCCTTAGAGTCACACTGGAGGGGTTGCTGCCGACTCTAGGGGAATCCTGATAGAATGGGGGTGCTTTGAGATCTTGGGCTGGACTTGAGACTCCCAAGCCCCGGCAGGTGCTGCTGGCCTTGTCAGCGCATGTGGGGGCGCTGGAGGCCGAGAAGCAGCGGCTGCGAGCACAGGCCCGGCGGCTGGCCCAGGAGAACTCGTGGCTGCGGGAGGAGCTGGAGGAGACGCAGAGGCGGCTGCGGGCCAGTGAGGAAGCCGTGGCCCAGCTGGAGGAGGAGAAGGGCCACCTGGAATTCCTGGGGCAGCTGCGGCAGTATGACCCACCTGCAGAGGGCCAGGTGCCCTGGGGGCCGCCCCTCCTTAGAGGCCTCACAGCCCCCAACCCTCCGCAGAGCCCCAGAGCCCTAGACAACCCAAGAACCCCAACCCTCTGCAGCGCCCCATGACCCCAGACCCACTAGGACTTCTGCAGAAGCCCCCATTTCCACAAAGCTCCAGATCCTCCCCAAACCCTCAGGAGACCCCTGAGGTCAGGACCACTACCACCCTGAGATTCAAGACCCTGGTCTCTGAAAAAGGTACCCAACACTTATGACTCCCCACTCCCCTGTCCTTGCAGCCAGAAGCCCCCCTTCGCCGAGACAGCCTGGTCTCCTTGTTCCCCAGTGAGGAGGAGGAGAGGAAAGGTGGGTGTGGGGGAGCCCATCATTGTGGGGTGCTCAGCCATGGAGGACAAAAGGGCAAGGCTGGGGAGAGACTGCTGGACCCCAAAGTCTCCGAGCAGGAGATGGGGGAGGGCAGGGTGTCAGAAGCATGAAGCAAGTGGCTATGGTAGCCAGGTGGGCCCTGATGTTCATATCCCACAGGCCAGTATGCCTGTGACTCTGATCTCAGAGGTCAGCGGGGGGTTCCAGGGGCCAGTTGGGCAAGGCAGTGGTAGCTCCCAGGTGTGTGTCCCCCCACGTGGGGCTGCAGAGGTAGGAGGCCTGCGTGACTCATGCCCACCACTCCCAGGTCCTGAGGCAGCGGGGGCTGCGGCTGCTCAGCAGGGTGGCTACGAGATCCCGGCCCGCCTTCGGACCCTGCACAACCTTGTGATCCAGTACGCGGGACAGGGCCGCTATGAAGTCGCCGTGCCACTGTGCCGCCAGGCCCTGGAGGATCTGGAGCGGAGCTCAGGCCACTGCCACCCTGATGTGGCCACCATGCTCAACATCTTGGCACTGGTATACAGGTGAGGGCTGTAGCCACTGGGGCTGTGAGGGGCAGTAGGGTAGGGACTGCTGGGCAGAGGCAGGGGGGATCCTGATACTCTGCCAATGTGCCTGGACTGGTGGTGGGGAGAACAGGGGTCTGGGGAGGCCACCGTGACCTAGGCAATGAGGAGTCAAAGAATATGGGTAACAGAGACCCCAACAGAATAGGGGAGACCTGGGGTGGCCAGAGGCTTGGCAGTGATCTGGGGGTATAGAGACCCTGTGCTGGGCTTGGGAGGTGTGGGGAGACCCAGAGGGGACCCCTGAAGGGTGCCACCAATGTGGTTCTGCCAGGCCCCTGGGCCTGCTGGGATAAGCCGAGCCATGGCCCAGCCAGGCTGACCCCCTCCATCCTTGGGGTCCCCCACAGGGACCAGAACAAATACAAAGAGGCCACGGACCTTCTGCATGATGCCCTGCAGATCCGGGAGCAGACGCTGGGCCCTGAGCACCCTGCAGTGAGTGACAGCCCAGGAGGTGGGGCTGTGGGGCGGTGCCTCCCACCCTGACCTGCCTCCCTGAACTCCACAGGTAGCTGCCACCCTCAACAACCTGGCTGTCCTCTACGGGAAGCGTGGGCGCTACCGGGAGGCGGAGCCCCTGTGCCAGCGTGCCCTGGAGATCCGGGAAAAGGTGCCACCCATTGGCCAGCCCCAGAGTCCCTTGTCCTCTGTGGCCCTTGTCACTTGGTCCTGAGGGTTCAGTTCCAAGGCTCTCATACCATCATCCTACGATGTCCTGCCCATCTGACCTGAACCCAACTTGAGCAGATTACCCAATCCCTTGACCTTCTGTGAGCTGTTTTGTCTCCTGACTCTGACCCCTCCTCATAACTCATCTCATATACCCCCCAACCCTGCCCTTTCTAACCCCATGTGACCACCAGTATAACCCTGACCTTGATCTACCCTTTCATCCCTGGTACCTGAGTTTCTGGACCACCTGACCTGATTAATCCCAGTTTGCCACTGTAACTTCTGCTCCCCAACCTCATGTTCTCTCCACTCTGATCCTATAACCCTAACTTACGGTCCTGCTATAGTGACTGGCACCAATGGCCCACCAGTCCCAGTGACCCTAATGGCTTGTGACCCCATGACACCTAGGTCCTGGGCGCTGACCACCCAGACGTGGCCAAGCAGCTCAACAACCTGGCGCTGCTCTGCCAGAACCAGGGCAAGTTCGAGGAGGTGGAACAGCACTACGCCCGAGCCCTGAGCATCTATGAAGCCCTGGGCGGGCCCCACGACCCGAACGTGGCCAAAACCAAGAACAACCTGGTGAGGGAACAGACCGGCAGGGGCCTACACGGGGCAGGCACCCAGTGGCTTGCGAGTGGGAATCTTTGGGCCCTTAAGAAAGGGGTCCCTTAAGACTCGGCCTCCAAGCTGGGCCCTGACTGGTGACATCACTTAGCACACAGGACACGGACACATCAGGAAACCTGCAAGTTGGTGGCCGGAGAATAGCTCCAGTGAAAAAAGCTAGAGACTGACCAGGAGCAGATGACAGCAACAGTATTTATTGAGCTCTAGCCCCCAGCCCCACTTCCTTGTATGCTTCCTGTGTCATCCATTTCTTAAAGGACCCTATGAGGCAGGTGCTCCTATCGGCCCATTTTTGCAGATGAGGGAACTAAGGCACAAAGAGGTTGTGTCACTGGCCCAAGGCCCTGAAGTCACCTGCCCTCGGTCCCCCAGGCTGGAAGTGGGGGACAGGCTCCAGACCCATTCTGCTGCAGCGCAAGGCCGTGAGTGCAGGGTTCCCAGATTTGCGCCTAGATCACCCAGGCCACGCCCTCCCCACAGGCCTCAGCCTACCTGAAACAGAACAAGTACCAGCAGGCAGAAGAGCTGTACAAGGAAATCCTCCGCAGGGAGGACCTGCCGGCCCCTCTCGGTGAGCCCCAGCTTCTCCCCCACCCCAGGAGGCTTCTCAGTGTCCTCATGGGTGTCCCCTTCCTGTTCCTCAGGAGCCCCCAACCCAGGCACAGCTGGCGATGCAGGACAACAGGTGAGGATGGGCTTTGCGTCTCTCAGGGTGGGGATGGGGGTACGGGACTGATTAGTGTCCCTGGTACCCTCCCCAGACCCTTCGTCGGAGCAGCTCATTCTCCAAGCTTCGTGAGTCCATCCGGCGTGGAAGCGAGAAGCTGGTCTCCCGTCTCCGAGGCGAGGGGCTGGTGGGGGCAGCTGGGTGAGTGTTGGATCAGAGCAGCAAAGAGCCCTGACGGCTGCAGCCCACCCCTGCCCCGGTCCTGCCATGGTGCCCACCTGGTGCTGGAGAGGTCTCCCCCAGAGTGGAAGCTAGCCACTCCTGGACTCACCTGACCTCACACCCCTTGCAGGATGAAGAGAGCTGTGTCACTCAGTGTGCTGAACACAGACAGCCCAGGGGCTGCTGGGATCCAGGTGACGGGGGACAGGGAAACCTGGGCCAAGGGTCCAGGTGGGGGGACCACACTGGCATGTTGATGTGGGAATGGACCCAAGGACAGGGGGATGGATGGGTAAGGCTGGATGTGGGGACAGGCAGATGAGCAGTAAGGCCAGTGGGAAGAACAAGCTGGCAGGCAGGATGCCGGGGGTGCCCGAGTACAAACGGGACAGCACTGCTCTGCCCCTCACCCACCCATCAACCCCCCCATGCCTGTCCCCAGGTCTCCAATCGGCACCTGGGCGAGGCCTCGCGGACCCTCAGCACCAGCACCCAGGACCTGGGTCCCAGCTGAAGGTGACAGACCACGAGGCTGCAGCTCCCAGGGGGGCTGGGGAGAGCTGTGGGGGAGTGGAGTGGCTTCCCCAGTACCATCTCCTGAGATTAAAGGCCTTGGCTCTGGCGGTCAGGAGTATCTGCCTGAGGTTTCCTGCAAGGACCTTCAAGTACTTTCCCCGAGGCCCCACGGTGCCTGGGCCCAGGGTCAGGCGAGACTCAGGAGTCGCGAGAACACCTTCACGGCCCTGCCCCCACCTCACACTACAGCTGCTGGGCGATCTGCTCTATCCTCTGCAGCGTCTCCTCCGATTCCAGCTGCTCCAGGCTGAGCAGGGACAGGCCCAGCTGATCCTCCTGGGGGAGGGGGAGGGGGAGGCGTCAGACCAGGGGATCCAAGACTCGAGGGCCAGTAGTGTATGGGCTACAAGACAGGATGCTCGACTTTGGAAACACCCGTACAATGCGAAGACAAGCCTGAGGGAGGCAGCAGCCTGACAGCTGTGTCTAAGCCAGGAGAGGATCAGCTTTCTGGAGGCCCTGCCTCCATGGTGTCCCCTGCACCTGCCCATCTGTAGCCCTCAACTCTCCCCAGGCCTGGCACACGGTGCACACAGTCAGCTTTGTTAAGGCCAAGGAGCCCTGGGGAGATAGGCCAGGGGATCTTCCTGGAAGAGGAGCTTAGCCTGGAAGGGTGAAGGGAAGCAAGGACAGGCCCCATTGGGCTCACCCGGTGGAAGGGCTGCGCCATCTGCCTCAGGAAGTATTTGGCGACCTGGACCCCCTCATCGACGGTCAAGTTGAGGTTGGCATCTGTGAGGTGCTCCTGGATCCAGCGGGGCAGTTTCCCCCGCTTGTCTGCCCGGGCAAACCGCTTTGAGTGGGAGAGAGGCAGGGTGTCAGGCCCCTGGTTTGAGGCGCCCAGGCCCTCCCCACCCGGACAACCACTGGGGGAACAGCCTGGATAGCGGAAGCCCCTGAACCTGCACCTTATCCGCGAAAACCATGAGGCCATAGTCTGTCTTGCCCCTGATGGCCCGACCCACACATTGAGCAGCGTGGCGCATGGCGTCGAAGGTGAGAAAGTCGTTCTCTCGAATCTGAAACTGGTCCCGCAGGTACTCCAGCCGTGCCTGTGGGTGAGGTGAGGGCACGGTCTCAGCCTGGCCACCCCTTCCCACTCCACACAAGGCCCAGGTGGGGGAGGGCCCAAGAGACGTGGCCCCAGGTGCAGCTCACCTTGAGAATGCGGCTCTGGGTGTAGACATAGGGGACACCGAACATGATCACAGCCCGTCCGTAGTGGTGCACTGAGGAGGTGGAGACAGGTGATCGTGTGGGTGGCCGCAGGGGCCAACCCTGTGGGGCCCAGGAGGCCATGCTGTTTGATGGGTGTGCTCGGAGGGCCCCACCAGGCACTCAGAGGGAATGGAAGGCCCGAGTGCACCCAGGCCACAGGTGGGTGGTCCCCTAGAAAGCAGAAATGGCCAGAGCCAGTGCTTGTGGAGGGGAGAGCCCAGTCCACTCACCGAAGTCGATTCCCTCGGATACTTTGCCTCGAGCCACCGAGAGCAGGATGGCCCCACGGCCATTCTCGCAGGCCTGGGAGGCCAAGACAGGAGATGGGTCCGCTCAGAGCTGCCTTGTTTGGCCTGTCTGCACACTGGTCTTTCCGCATCTCCCACCCCACCCACTCTCACCTCCTGGTACTTCTCCAGGGCGACGCTGGTCTCAGCTCCATCTTGGGTCTCGATAAAAAGCAGCTTGTTCCTCTGAATGTTTTCAAGGATGCCCTAGGGAAGGACACCAGGCAGGCCGTGGTGTGGGTTGGCAGAAGGTGGATTAAGGACACGGGTGTTCTGGCTACACTCAACTCTGCCCTGGATGTCCATATGGGAAAATGAACCTCAGCTCTGACCTTACACCAAGATGAACCTGGGGTACCTCACAGACCCAGATGTGAAGGCTAAAGCTATAGGGCTTCTAGAAGGAAGTGTGAGAGACTATCTTTGTGGCCTTGGGGTAGGCAAAGCTTTCTTAAATAGGATACACAAGGCACTCAGGATGTGGGGCTCACGTGATCAGCAGCCACCCTTCCCACAGTGTGGAAAGAGCCCTTTTGAGGATAAGACCAAGGTCTTGGCTGGAAATGGATGTGGCCCCTGTCCGCTACCCCCTCCTTTCCCTGATGCTTGGATTAGCCAGGTTCCTCACTGCCCACCCTGAGTATCTGCTTTAACCTACCCCAGAGCTGGGCTCAGAAGCAGGAGACACAGCGGCCCCCTCCCCGACCCGCTCCTGCCGGCCCCAGGGCCCAGCTGTGGCGAGCCCCACTTCTGGAATGCTCCAGGAGCTCGCCCCACACTCCCCAGCAGGGCTCCTGAAGACTCCGCCTGAATCACTGCCCAACCTTAATTCTCCAGAACCTTCCTCTAATGGCACAGCACCCAGTTAGTCACTCCTGTTATCCAGTGTCTCTACATCCAGCCACATGTGCTAGGACAGTCATGAGTAACCCCAAGAACACCAAGGGAACAAGGAACTCAAAAGGTCAGGTACAGTCACCTCTCCTGGGAAGGAAGGCCCCACGGATGCTGCTAACGTCTGAGTTCTTCACCTGGACGTGGAGGGGGCACAGCAGTACACACTGCTTAAACCGTTCACATGTATTTTATACGCTGTCCTGTCACCTATGATGCGTACCACCATTTAAAACACACAAATGAAGCCAACACACAGGAAGAAAGCCAAGAGCTGACGAGGGGCCGTCCCGAGGAGTGGGCGGCCGGGCGTACCTGCTCATACCAGGAGGCCACGGTGCTCTCCATGTACTGGTAGCTGGTGAAGAAGGCCACGATGCCGTCAGGGACCACCGCGGACATCTCTAGCAGGAGGTTTCCGTAGTTCCGGATCACCGCTGGGAGGGGTCAGAGGTTAGGCCTCTCCTGGCCCGGGTCCTCCTCCCCATCCTGATGGGCGCTTTCCTGTCTAATGCCCTGTCTTTGACTTTAGGTTCCTAGAAACTCCCCTGAGGTCATCTGTGGGGTTGTTCACACACATCCCGCTTCTCCTTCCAGGCCCCTGGGAGGACCACCCCACCCCAGCCCCCAAAGTTGTTTCCATGTGACTTTCCCTGGCCAATGAAATGGCTGCAGAAGTGGCCATGTGCCACGTCCAGGTGAGCAACTTTATGGGGCACTGCGCAAGCCACCACAATCCCTCCTGTCTCATTCCACCACTGCAATGTGTCCAACAGTGAGAGGGACCTGGGGCAGGCCCCCGCCAACCCAGAGTGGCCCACACCGCAGGCAAGAAGTAACCGCTGGTGCCCAAGCCACTTTGACTTGGGGATGTTTGTTAGCACAGTGTGACTCAGCCCGCTCTGACGCGCCTCCCCTCGGGGGCCCACGCAAACCAGCCCCACGGGCAGCATACCGATATCTTCCCGGGTCTCAAATTTGGAGCTGATAGCCACCTGGTCATTGCCGCGGCCAATGATCTGAGAGGGAGAGAGGTGGTAACAAGCAGAGCCACAGCCACGGCCCCGACACTCAGTGCCGCCTGCCTGCTAGCGCTGTCCTAGGTTGCTTACAGACCCTGTCACTGAGCCCTCAGCTACCCTGTTATCTGTGCTACACAGATGAATGACCTGGAGCTCAGGAAGGTGAGCTGCCTGCCCAAGGTCACATGGCAAATAAACAGCAAAGACGTTAGTGAACCCAAGTTTGTCCATGTTTGTAACCAGCAGTGCCCTCTGGCCAGCCCCAGCCTCCGCGCCAGCTGCTTCCAGGAGGGACGCTCCTCACAACCTCCACAGCCTCTGATGTGTTCCTACCGGCACCCATGATGCCGTGCACGGCCACCACCAGCACGCAGCCCCTGAAGGGCAATTCCAAAACACTCTGCAAGCCCCAGGTGTTTGAGTCGGGCACAGACTCATACAGTTGCCGAAACTTCCCTGCCCTGAGTCTACTCAGAATCCTGACCTACCTCCCTCAGTCTGACCCTTCAAAACATTTTGCCGCAGAAATACAATATGACTTTCACTGGAGGGTGTTGGACAGACCCTGCTGGGAGTGCTACATACCCACAGCATATCCCTTGCTTCTAAGGTCTGGAAAATTCTGAATTACATTTGACCCAAGGGCTTCCGGAATAGACCGAGGGCCCATGCTGTGATGCCCATTTTACAGAGAAAGAGACTGAGGCAAAGCAGAAGGGTCGCCTGCCAAGGTCACAGCCAGAGGGTGAACTGAGCAAAACCATGCTAGCCAAGATGCTGACTGAGCCAGGCCTTGGACCACATAGGCATTTTACACCCATTACTCCACTAAATCCCCTCGGCCACCTGTGAGATCAGGGAGATGCATTCCCACCTTACAGATGAGGAAACCGAGGCTTGGGGAGTCATGCCCCCAGGGAGAAGCAGCACCGAGCCCAGGACTGTCTGAAACCAGAATCCGTGCCTTTTGCTGTAAAGCTCTCCTTCCTCGGGCACTGGCGGGAGTGGCGGGAAGAAAGGCTGCCCCGCCCCCCACCCTTCTACGCACCATGGGGCACAGGCAGACCCGGGCCAGCGTCATGGTGAAGGTGGCCAAGGTGACGGGGTGGAAGTCCAGAATCTTCGGGTAGATGTCCAGCGGGGACAGTGTCTGTAGTAGGGACAGCAGGAGGCATCTTAGCAGGACGGGGGCAGGAGCACAGTAGAGGGCTAGGGGCCGGGGAAGGGTCCTCACCCCAGACGTGATGATGACAGACTGAAAGCGCTCAAACACGGGTTTGATGGCCAGCGAGGCGTCCATGCAGCTGCAGGAAACAGATGGTGGGGTGAGGGCCAGGCCAGGGGGCGGGACCCCCATGGCCCATTCACACCCCCACTGGGATCAGGTCTCACACCCCTACTGGGATCAGGTCTCACCTAAAGTGAAGGATGGGGTTGGTGATGGTTGGGGTCCTGTCATCAAAGGGCTCGATGATGATGGTGAAACCTGCAGGGGCCAGTAGGGTTCCCCAGCACCAGTCAAAGCCATAAGCCCTCGGCCACCCCCTTACCCGCTCCCTCCTCCCAACCAGTTAGTGAATGGGACCAGCCACCAGCCACCCAAGCCTAAAACCAAGGCATCTGATTTCGAA